TGACTAAATTTTTTATTGGGACGCATTGAAAAACGGTGTTCACCGGTTTTAATCGATTTATTTGCACGAAACAGATAATTTACGTTTTTTCGTAACAAATGTCGCGTCGCGCACGCAATCTATTACAATAGATACATACCTATTATCTATTCTGTACGAATATTTCGGCGGAGCTAGTCATCGAAACTTCTGTTAAATCGAAGTACTTTGATCAGGGACGGAAACCGAGGATGCGGGATATGTTTATAGTGCAAAGGTAATAAGACAAACGAAATTACGACCGCATTTGTAGTTTATCGATACTTCGTTTTCCGCGCATGCGGAACATTCCAGGGGGGATTGAATTATCGATACACGTCGCCTGACATGTTGACTATCGGGAAGGAGGTGACACCTCATTCTCCTCTTTTCAATAAAGCGACTTTATCGGCCAGATAAATATTATTAGCCAATAAGCACATGCTCTCGCACTCGATACCTCGGTACCTCATCGCACGGTGTATGGTATGCTTCCGTTACTCGCCCTTTAAAAATCTTATAACCAAAAATTACATCTTTTTTATTTTAATAAAAAGAAGGTAACAAAAGTATTCTTCACTCTGATATAAAAAGAATACATTAGATATAATGCGGTAATTTCGAAGATGTACGTGTGCTATTTTCGCGATCTCGTTGTTCCATGCCATAAAAGTGATCCTACATTCGCTGCAAAAAAATAAAATACCTACGATGTTACGTCTCATTATTCAGAAATTGGGATCTGAGCTATGTAAGCGCGAATCCGTCCACGTTACATTTCATCGGCGAAAGACAGAGAAAGAGAGAGAGAGAGAGAGAGAGAGCAGACGAAGTTACATGAATAAAATGCTAGGAATGAAAAATAAAACGAAGGCAAGTGACCCACATGACTGTCGCGTATACGTGTAAACACGGGGCGCCGGCATGGCATTCGTGCGAAAGGGAACAACTTATTCACTGAAAGCCTCGCCCAACGGCAGTTCGGATGTGTGCAACCCCGATGGAGAGAAACCCTTGTTTTTTTTTTTCTTTCATCCCCCTTCGCGCCCGCTTCCACTATTCGTCGTACCTCGCGATCCGGCGTCCCGCGCGCTAAGAAAAGGGCGAGAAAATAGGTCTCGCACTCCTCCAGAGTGCCATTCAGTGCTGTAATTTATTCCAGTTTCATGAATCCCCTTTTGCAACTCCCCTCGCCGCCCCGCGTCCCGTCGTCCTTTTCACTTCTGCCGTTCTTTATCAGAGGCTGCTCCGCGCCCGTTAATCCGAGTTACCTCCCTTTCTCGGCTTTTCTTTCTACACCGTCTATAACCAACCCCCCCATCGTCCTTCTCCTCCCCTCGTCGCGAACGCTGCCCTGCGCGTGCTCTCTAATTTATCTTGTCAAGCTTTCATTTCGTCCATTATGGACTTCTTTCAAGTTGCAAGTACTTGTTGCACAGGTACGATTGATATTATAAATTCCGCGTTACTCTCTTTAAAAGCATGCCGCTGAGAAAAAGTAGATGCGCCAAGATCCTTCAACGCAAAATATCATTGTCGTCGTCGTCGCGGGGAGTCGACAGGAGTGAAGTCCGACGATCTCTTTCTTAGGTCTCTTAGCAAGCGTGTAAATCTAAATCGATATTCCGGCACCAGCCGGTACATCGTGCAATAACTCTCGGCTTCGTAATATCGAGCGTGCCACCGCGGCACGCTCTACGCGCCACCCGGGGAGAATAATATTGAAATCACACGGGGTTGCACGTCGTCGTCATCACCGTCGGGGGGTCGTCGCCGTCGGTAGTCGTCGCTGCCGCAAGTAGGCCAACAGCTCGAAATAGAAACCGTCAACTGGGGCAGTCAATGCTCAACGTAAGACACCATTCGTCGCGGCACGTTCGCGACTTTTCCGTACACGCGTACTTTCGTTCTCTCTTTTTTTTTCCAAGGGAGAAAGATTGCTGTCCGTCAAACGTCGGAATATCACCGCGTTTGCCCTTCGTGCCAAACGCGGCGATCTACGTCTCGAAAAGCTATTTTCCGCTGCAGCGACGAATGTCCGTCGGTGACGGCGGGATTTATGCGGGACCGAGACTTACGATTCCGTCGACCGCTACACCGTTCCACGCTAGTGGTTTACGTGCTCCGCAAACCGCATTCAGCGTTATCGTCGTTATCGTCGGAGCGTCGTTATCGCCTTTTGCGAATCGATCGCAAGACGCGATCTAATCAATTCACGTCACCGGAACTTCGTTAGCGACGGTAAAATTTTGCTGCGCTGAGTTTCTTCGGAAATTTTATCTCTACTCACCGATGAGTGTGCTTCAAATCCAAGTGTAATATTGTATTTCATATGATTTAGTTTTTCTCGCATTTCAACGAGGAAATAGTTTTGGTTTTAATGTAGATCTCAGTACGTGACGTATAAAGAAGAGAGTAATTTTACTTTCAATGTTAATTGTTCATGTATTTAATTTATTTCCACACTATTAATTTATTTTAAATTATAATTTATGCTGAAAAAAATAGTGTAGTTGAAATGTTCCATGTATTGTATATTAATGAATAAGTAGTTTTAATCCCTTCTTGATGTTTTAGTAAACTACTGTTAATCTTTAATTTAATTATTTATTTAATGTTTCTATCATTGCAATTCCGAGCTAGAAAATTGATATTGTTGTATGTAATTTAGTTTCTCGCAAAAATAGCACTATTATATTATATTTTTAAATTTAAACATAAATCCACTTTTTATATACAGTAAAGCGGATTACTTTTATAGGGAAAACTAAATCGTTCATATATATGAAGTCACTTATGACACACTTGGATATGCGGTGCAGCTATCAATCAAACCCAAGATCATTGAGCCTTGTTATGTCATAATCGTCGCAATTTTGTCATTAACTACCGCACGTAACGAAATGCCGGCATACGAGATACACAATTCACGGCTCGTGATTGAAGATCTAATTAAATCTATGCTACCTCTCCGTATTAAATATCGTGTCCACATAAACATGAAAGGAAAGGGGGATGGCGACTTTATTTCGTTGGATCTCTCGCGCATCGTTGTACGGATTAAATGTCTTGAAGCAAATGCATTAATACGAGCGATAACGCAGCGGATTTTAATGCAGGCGTTTACATGGGCCATTTTAGCTCCGGAGGCTCGCTCAAATATACGTGCTTACCAGCAGTTTTAGCATCCGGCTTAACAGGACGTAATTTTCCGCAACGGCAACGTAATGACGCGTATATAAAACGACACTAACCCCGTACGCTCATCGTATCGTTCATACATTCTCTTTATGATGACATCGCTAAACTCATACTGCTAAAAATAAACGATAATGCGCGGTCCCCTCGTAATCTAAATTTTGATTAGGACTCGAAGGAATTACGCTTTCAACTTTAGTGATTGCCTAATTCTCAGTTCTATCAGATTAACTTTGTGGATTAACTTTAAATCTCAGCCAACTTACTCTTCATTTTTTTTCTAGTTCTAAGAGTTAGAGAAAACGAAGTTGAACATACTCTCTAAAACTTTTAGAGTGAGTCTCATTCTGAAGAGTGAAATCTCACTCTTACAGATTGAAAATTGAGCTACTCTTTTTTAGGACTGGCTCAATTTTCACTCTTTAAAATGAGATTCCAGAATTTAGAGAATAGATTAAAGTTAATCTATAATAGTGGAAACAAACATAAGATGATGTTGATATTAATGCAATTTATATTTTCGTTAAAGTTATGGATATTGCTAAGCAATTTATCTTTCTTTCTGCATGGCTAAAGTCTTTGTAAAACTTTAGAAATTAAACAATATCACACTTTATTTCTGTGTATTAATTTCTTTGTATGTCTGAAATATAAACACTTTGCACACATATTCATCCCTTGAGAAGTGCCGATGATCACTAACATTTAAATATAAATAATCCAGTGATATATGTATATAACATTCATATACCTTTCAATGATTATTATTGGACGCTCATCATATTTTCATTAACTAATTTCAATTTATTTAATGTTTTTCGAAAATTGAAAGCACGATTGCACTGTCTCTTCCTATCTCTTATCGCACGTCGAGTGCGCTCAAAGGCTCGCAAAGGCTACCGAACAATTGTTCCTGCACATTTTTGCACCTTCTCTGCTATCTTTCAGAAGCATTACGAATCTCTGTTCTCGTTGCATTACGCAAATAATATCGCGGAAACTTTTAATTAGCGATCCATTTCCTCAAAGTTGAACTTCGACACTTCGAATTGCTCACCGCATTCGTTATTCTTATCGCATTTTCCTTTCCTGAAGAAAAAAATGCACGAGTATCTGAAACAATTAAATGCATGCACACATCTCAAGCACGTATCGAGTATACGCAGAAACCATTCAATCTTTTACGACGTCATCCATACGCAATCATATTGAAACGTTTTTTCAAAAATCCGCGGACACGTGGAGACGTCGTGCTCGCCTGTTGTTCTCATTTCACGTCTTGCCTCCCTTGCGTGAGGAGCAAGCGATCCCCAGGCATTCGAGGATGACGCCTGTGGATCGTTTCACTCGTCAAACATGCTGCATCCTTTGTCTCATCATTTATCATCTCATGATTCACGGCCGGTGCGAGTGTAGAAGGAAGATCCCCTGAATAATAGAGTACATCCTGACCCGTCCCGTTAGCGATATTAAAACTTTATTTCGGTCACCTTGCAAAAATGATGATATCGTTAGAAAAGGTTTCTCGGATCCCCTTTCGAGATAAAAGTTTCACAACATATAATGCGAATGTCATACACGTGACTGTCTCACGACTGAGATCTGAAATATTCTCAGGCGAGGGTCCGATATGAGTTATTAAATTCCTTCCTAATGAATTTCTCTCACGATTTTAGAGAATTATTTTACGAATTGACAATTCAGACAAATGCTCGCACCGGCTTTATACTCGTTCGTTACGATCCCTCGTTTATGTTGAGTGTTGGTGTTGGTGCAAGGGGCAGGAGACACCGATATACATATGGTACGAGTCGTATCCGACCCACAGTGGCGAAGGATACGAGGGTCGTGTCTCGAGGGTGAGCGAGAATTCACCGTACGGCCAGGCCAGCCTCAATCTGACGAATATCCGCGAGAGTGATCAAGGATGGTACAAGTGCAAGGTCGTCTTCCTCAACAGGTCGCCCAACAGTCACAAGAACGGTACCTGGTTTCATCTAGACGTCCACGGTAAGTAGTCTGAATTTTCACGTGTTTCCTAAAAGTTCGAACAATCGCGAATGCAACTCGCGACAGCAAGTGTCTTTAGTATTCAGGATTAATCATGAAACGCAGAACGATGTAATCTCTTCTTGACATATTTGAGTTTGCATTGCTGTGAAATGAGCAGTGGAAAGTACAAATGAAAAGTTACCTTCATGTTATATGGAACTTGATGAAAAAAAGAACTTGGTATTCGCGTAAAGTTGTCTGCTAGTAATAAAAGTTATATCCACTATGTGCTAAACGCGCTCTTAGCAGAAGCTTTTATGTCCAGCTTATATAACATGAAATTACGTTATTTCTGCTTCGAATAGCCTCGTTAATATCACTTTGAACTTAAGAAGATTTTACGACTTCGGCTAATGCAGTTTTATAACACTTGCAAGAAGTTAACCGCGTAAGTTAGGGCCACGTTTGAATAATTCGGTGAATTTGCAAGTTTTCATAATTTGTTGGAAAAGAGATGTATATAATATATGAAAAATGTACCTTCACACATTTTATATCTAATTATACATTATTTTATTATTACAATTATCTTAATAATATTTTATCAATATTTTAATATTTTTAACGAAGTTAATAATATGAGTTACGTATGTTCCTCTGTTTCATTTATTACTAATAATAATTTTATTAAAATAAATTTAATAATATTTGTGGTTCCAAGAATAAATCCAATATACCTATATGAGCCGCGGTTGGTGATGCGTAAATTATGTATTCATAATGTAATATAATTCGCAACTAATTGGGATGTACTTATTAAACGAAATTAAAGTAAATGTAAATATTTCGACTTCGAATTTGTCCTTGTCAGTGTGGAAGTCAAGTATAAGCTACTAATCATTCATACTTGACTTCCGCATTGAAAAGGACTCAAATCCAAAGACGAAATATTCGCGTTTACTTTAACTTTGTTTGATAAGTACATTCCAATTAGTTGCAAATTATATCTTATCATGTTATGAATACATAATTTATTCACTACCACCACGAAAACCCACATAGGTATTTTATTTGTACTGGATTTATTCTTGGAGTTACAAAAATGCTACTAATTTATTTCAATCAAATTAGTGAAAATAAAACACATATGTTAGGCATTTTGTTTGTGCTAATTTTACTTGTTATGTATGCTCTCTCGAGCATAAAATTTTCTAAATTTACTTGTATTCAAGTAAGAATACGTACGTATATGTTAACGTTTGATAATGAAAACTGATCTCATCGAGAAACACGCATCGATCGGGGGAAAGAAACGCGTTCGCGCATTGTTGGAGACACATGAAATTCCGGAATATCCTCCTTTTGCACTTGGTTAAACACATCAACTAGTATAGCACGCGAAAGTATTCCTTTTTCTGTCGCCCGCGTTCCTTCTCATCCCAACCGCGTCTTCGAGCTTACCTCGTGACTTCCTGTCAAGAGAAGGAAAGCATGCGGATCATAAAAGACGCTTCAGAAAGAACCACCGCCACCACCGCCACTGCTGTCGGTTCTCCGATGCGTTTCGATGCGAATTGTACATTCAGCAAACACTGTGCAACCACGCCCCGTCGTGCTCCCGTTCCTCGGCGTTCCTGAAGTTCGCGCGTCGTGGAAGAAGTTATGTTTCTTGCTTGCTCAGCGCTCAGTTCGAACTTACGTCTTCTTCCGGAGTTCTTCGCCGTGCCCTTCATCGCTTCGACGAAATCTCCCGAGGAACGGCGTTCCCTGCTTACGGCGAACAAAATGGAAAGGAGGATCGCAAAAAGATTGTGTTACTGGACGGGAAATGGGACAGAGGGGAAGAAAAAAAAAATGAAGAAAAGCGGGAGAAAGAAGGAAGAAACTTATTGCCGCGTTTTGCTCGGTTATAAACGACGAAGGGCTGAAGGGAAGAGAAACATTTAGATGGCTTGGGAAGCACGTATTGCGTTGTTCTCCTTTCTTTTTCCTCGTCCACACCTCATCCACCCTTTTCCCCGTCAGTCTGCTCCGCTTATTCCCTATTTTCTCTTTTCTTTTGTTCTCTGTCAAGCTTTCGGTCACACTCGACAATAACAACAACGAAGGCGACGACGACGGCAATGGCGATAGATCTGCAAACGGCGTCAAAGGGAAAAGTACTTGAGGCATCCGGAAGGCGCTTAAGATTCCTTTATACTTTGTAGCCGGTTCCATTCGGTCGCTTGCTCGCGTTAAAGTCATAAACCGTCGCATCCCATCGTGTCACTTCACTCCCCTTTTTTCTTTTTCCGCTTTCCTCATCTCCGCGCTACTGTATCTTCCGCGAAGCGTCGTCGCTCTCGAAATTAAAATTCCTCGTCTTCGAATAACGACGAAAGAAGCAGACGGTGCATAGTAGCGGACAATATCCTGGAAAAACAGAAAACAGAGAAAGAGCAGCCCCGAATGGCAGGAATTCGAAAGAAACTGTACGTGAAGCTCCTGCAGAAATATTTACTCGAGCCCTTTCCGATTCTACCGGATTTCTTGCGCGTACGTCATTAAAATTTTTCCAACGGAACAATTTTGTCTTGCGGAAGAAAGGGAATATCGCTCGGAGGATAGTTTTCTTAACCATTACGCCGTGGAAAATTTGCATTATTTCAATCACCCGTTTTTCCTCGTTTTCCATTCTCGACCGCTCCCGTATTCCCTCGTCCGAAATTGTCGATCTTATACGGTACGTCTTAAGACGAGAGAAAATACTCTCTCGCGTCATCGTTCGGTCGCGAACGACGGACAGCGACGAACCATTGTGATTTTTCCAGGATGAAAAGAGGATGGGCGATAAAAACGCGGACGGAACTTCTCGAGGAACATTTTCTAAACGTCCACCTCCTCTGCTCGGACTTGATTGTTCTTCTAACGTCATTTGCCCGCGGCTATTTTCCGTCGTGAAAGTGCCAAGCGTCGTCGTCCTCACTTACAAAAAGATAAACGGCTTAAATTTTTTTGCGAAACCTTCGTCCTGCGAGAACTACGTTACCGAGTCGTGAAAATAATTGGGAATGCAGGAAAATGATTTTCACTCGAGTTGTATATAGAGATCAGTCGGTTTGCCCTGCGCTCTGTAAAGTTCACATTGCAGTCATACAACGTGAACTAAGATATAGTTGTATTGAATCATATCTAATCATTTGAAATTTCGCCTCTATCGTTTGCAGCGCCACCCAGATTCAGCATAACGCCGGATGATATGATATATGTGAATTTGGGTGATGCGATAATACTCAACTGCCAAGCTGAGGGTACTCCGACGCCAGAGATCCTTTGGTACAAGGACGCGAATCCGGTTGAGCCCAACGGCCGAGACGTCGGGATATTCAACGACGGCACGGAACTCAGGCTCTCGACGATCAAGAACGACGATATCGGTGATTACACCTGCATCGCCAGGAACGGGGAGGGCCAGATCAGCCACACCGCGCGCGTCATCATCGCCGGTGAGACTTTTCATTCAGCTTTTGTTAGAATGTTAGGAAAATCCTCGCGGGACTGCAATTTCGTCGCGAAGTTGAGCAATAAATTATCCGTTCGGGAACAGCGAAAGACACGATTACGTTCGACAGCAACCGAGCCTTATCGAGTGTGAGAGATAAAACTTTTTTAATTTAAGTCTTACTGTCAGTCAGAAATATATTTGCCCGACGAAGATCTGGAAATAGAGCGCCGGGCACGAGGATGGGTATTGCGAGATTATGAAAATTTCCATTTTTTAAATAAGTTTAAACTTATGATGATGAAACCGCGTAATGTAATAAATAAATTTGCATAATTATTCATGTACCCGTGCGCTTCGATAATGATAATCTTTTCTTCTTCGTTATATTTTTAATTTCTTGAAAATATATTTTCGTCAGAAGTCACATATTTGACGCATTTTCATTTAGAAGATCTCTAATTCCTGAAAAATCCCTCTCAAAATTCTCGACGTGATTTTATCAACGCGAGTCACGAGTGGCGTCTATCCCGCGGTTTTGCTGCGGCGAATAACAATTGCTTTTTTCCGCCGGTAATATCTCGCGGAAAACGTTAACATGCGCGCTGTTAAGTATTACTGGCTGACAGCAACGTGTTACCAGTCACTGCAGTGTGGCCGTTTAATCCACTCGGTCCGGTGGCTGCGACAAAAACCATCATAGCAGCTTTCGTTTTAGAGTCTCGTGTTAAACGAGCGAACGATACCGCGGTTCACGCATGGTGTGACTATTGGGATAATTAACTCTTAATATACTTACACGATTGAGTCATTCGTGTTCTGCATTTTTTTTTTATTTAATACTAGGAGCATTTGGTTAAATTAATAAATTAATAAATTCTATCTTTTCCTTTTTTAAATACATAACTTTATAAATATTTTCTAAAGATATTAAAGTATACGTGAGAAATACTTTATAATTTTTCTCTCCTTACAGAAAGTAATAAAACCTGGAACACGAACGATCCATCGTGTGTTGTAGTAAAGAAATATCATCGTGTGTACCAAGGGTTAAAGAACCGTCCGGCTATGGCGTTTGCTTGTTCTTTGGAGTTGACGGGAAACATAAAAAGTCCATCTCAGTTGCTCCTAGAAATATCTTAATCAATCACCTGTCCGTCACAACTGCCGATTTCATCGCTATACGCGAATACTTACTGACTCAAGAAGATCGGATCACGTCTGTAGATTGTCAGCCTATTAAGTGCTCGTTTTGTTCTGGCAATTAAATGCCTATTTTTCATAGCCATAAGTTAGATACGTAATTAAAATATAATTAAGGAATATTTCATAAAAGTTTCGTCTCTATCCGGCGAAGGAAAGGGGTGGGATTCGAGAGAGCGCCTAGGTATATAACGCCAGTAAACTAATTAAAGAAGAAGATACTTTGTACCGAAGGTAATAAGAAGGCGAATCTTTTTAACTTTGTTTTTGTCGAACATAAATATAAAGTCGATTGATTAGTTTGCCGACAACGAAACGCTACGGCGTACTTTCTTCTTAAAACTAATTTAATATGAAACGCGCGATGTATATATGTGTGCGTATATATATATATATATATATATAAGTATATATGTATATATATTTATATATACTTATATATAATAAGCGCGCTTTAATATACTTCCGAAAATTGCCTCGACATGGCAACGATTAATTATCCGCGATCGGCACCCGAAGAGAATAATGCAAAATACGGCTGCCTGCCAGGCCGATAATTAATAAACAGCAAACTGCCGTAGTAATTATCGAACGCGCCGTTATCAGAAACAGATATCCCTTGGTAATCAGCGATCAGCTGAACACCGGTAATGCAATTCCAATAACCTGCATACTAGAAAATATCTTAAACCGAGCGCGGTTGGCTCTCTCTCCGCTAGTTTTGTTATTTATCGATCGGTCTGTACCTAAGCTGTTCTCTTTCTCTCACACACATACACGCATACATACATACACACTCTCCTACTTCAATTTTGCTTGATGCGCAATCGAAAACGAATTCTCACGGGCAGGTAGCTCTCAGTCGATTGCATCTTCGCGATACATTCGATAAATTTGACGTACTCCACGCAAGCTTCAAACGGAATAACAAACGGCCCTCTCACAAACGATTTCGCAAGTTTTCTAGTATATATATATATAATAGTCATCCCATGGGAGATACGTCGAGATCTGAAATATCATGATAGGACTGCAAGTCCACCCTTGATTTTGAAGTATCAAAACGCTCGTAAAACTGACCGATATATTTTGCTACATACAGATTCTGAACAGCGCGCTTCCAGCTTGCATTAATTGCGACTGTACTTCGACGTCAAGTGTCTGAAAGATACGATAAATCTGATAAATACATCTTTGCTTCCAACAAGCTAATGCGCATGAAATGAAACAATTAAAGATTTACGCGTAGATCTTATTATCTCCGGTTTAATTAACTCAATCCATCGTCTTTCTCGTTCCTTTGCAAGTGCTTCGCTCTTGACGTCCATTATGAAGAGGATTTTCACCGTCAGCATGATGTAATTTAATCGAAAAGAGTATACAATAATCCCGGTTTAATTTGCACTTAATTAGATCTTTATCCGCAACATCCGTAATAGTAAACAGTAAACAGTAGATTTCTTTGAACACTCGAAGTATAACAACTACCGAGAGGTCATTATTGATCGCTTTTACTTTTAGATTAATATTATTAATTTCTTACATAAAAAATAGGAAATTTTCGATTCTTTTCAGTAATTATGTCTTTTATACTGATGAAACATTTGGTTTTTTATCATTTTCTTTATTTTTATTATATAATAATTTATTTGTTTGGTCCTTCGTTATTAAATATCAAAGGAGCATGATAATTCATTCCCTTGAGTTATAAATATAACGTTTTATTATTTTTAATTTCCATGTGCGTCAAAATGTAAATAAATCCATTTCTGGTTAATTTCAAAGTAAACGTTGTCCATATTAACGTATGATTTAATGAATAATAAATTAAATTTAATATATTTTCATAAATCAAATTGCTTAAAATAACATTAAAAACAAGCTCGTGTTACTAATTACAATTAATGTAACAAATAAGGCCAAGAATTTGAAACCAATAAAATTTAATGTAAAAAATTATGTACTTTATTAGACTATGAGCAAAATGATTGACATTAAAAAACCGATCATTACAGATATGGTACAGAATTCTTCATCAGCGATATAAAAGAATCGTTACAAATCTTTTAAAAAATAATTCGACATAACTGAAGTATAAAAGCAAATATAACTCCTCTCTCTCTCTTATCTATTTCAAATTATAAGTCAAGAGAACATATCCAGGCTAATTCGGCACACAAATTATTTTAGTCAAATTAATGACATTAGAGCAATGACGATCTATAAAAATGATTGAAAATAACAAATTGAAATATAATTTGAGATTATAGATTCAACAGCGTTTTACAGCGAGTAACTAATATTGGTACTATAATACTTCCAGTGTTCAGAAAATGATACCCGATATAGGGTGGTTTGGATCTCTGTTCGTATAACAAAAAGTCTATAATACAAGAGAAAAAGAGAAAGAGAGAGAGAGAGAAAGAGATTTCTATTGCAGTTTCGAACAATGATTCTTTTCCCTTATATCAGATAATCGTGTGTGCGGACAGGTGTTTGCCGTTCTACGTCATAGCTTCGCGATCAAGCTCAGAAAAACATAAGGGAAGTCGCAATCTCATCCGTGTACGATCGTACAACCGTTTCAGCGTTCGTTTCTCCCTGGGGAACGGAAACGTTTACCCGCGATCGAAGACGCGGGAATGCTGATGCATCCATAAAGCGCAAACACGACATACGTATGGGATGTATAGTGCAACGTTTCTTCCCCAGTAAATTTTACGAACCGATACATTTACTCATATCGATACGTTTCAGCTCTCCGTGATAAAACTCGCGTTAGGCAAAGTGGTTACAGCGAGCTTCCGGGCGTCGCTCGTTCCGCCGACCAATTAAGGCTATTCCCGTGCCGAGGAAGGGAGGGAGGGTTAAAAGGCGATTTGTCTTGTTTTTCCAACAGCCAACAGCCACTTTTCGCCTCCGAACCGCCTTCTTGTTCCATTTCGCTTTTCCTCCATTCCCTTTTTTTTTTTTCCAACATCATCGCGCCATCGTCCGTTCTTGCTCCGCAACCACTGCAAATTTGTAAGCTGCGCCAACGGCAAGCCACCGCCGCTGGGACATCCGTCTTCATCATCGTATTGTCTTACCGTCTCGCGCCCCTTTTGTTTTCACCCTCGTTCACAGGCTCGGCAGCGAGATGGTTATTTAATGGATTGAGAAATGGCGCGGATGTCGCTGGCTAGACAAGACGGCAAGATCGTAAAATTCGCTCGCGCGCGGAGAATAAAATTAGATGAACGCTCATACCAGAAGCCATTATAGCCGCTAAAGGATGAACAATATGAGATGAACAATATGAGAACAAAACTGCACATTGAACATTACATTTCTTCCATGAATTTTTTTATTTCATTTACTGCAAATCTCCAAGTGTACGATAAATGTTTCGTATGTAATCTAGTTTTCCATGTATAAAAATAACACGTTTAAATGTGTAAATCTATTTTTGTAGTATAATTATGTTTACGCCGGAAACTAAATCATACATGAAGACACATACTACACACTTGGAGTTGCAGTATTTGATTTCAGAATTATTAAAACGTCGATAAAAATAAATTAAAGCAAAAAGAGAGAGGGAGAGAGCAAAATTACTGCACGTAGACGAAAATAAAAAAAAATCGCATTTATCTCTTCCATTCTAGAAAAAGGTGGGACACGTGTATTTCATATGATATAAACATAATAGCGCGTTTCACCAAGTTAAACGAAGTAGAGCGTTTAAAGAGGACGAGAATACGCCGGAAAGTAAACATTACAAAAATAAATCATTCTAAAATTTATTCTGCATCTCGACTGCTGCTCCATTTGCTGAACTACCCTTCACGCTCGTATCTTTCGCGCTTCTCGTGGTACCACGTATTTGCAATGTGCAACGTAATGTTGTGCGACGCTACACCATCATAGCTGTGTACTTGACATGAGAGAGAGAGAGAGAGAGAAAGCCCCCCCTTCCTCTCTCTCTCTCTCTCTCTCTTCATCCCTCTGAATTTCATTGCCCCGGTTTGTCAAGATTTTCGTCTGGTTGGCAAACGTTGGAATTTGTCACCGTGACACTTCTCGCATCGGGAATGCGACGAAGCCGCGGGTATAAACGCGGGTAGCAACGTAGTCTGTGATGTAGCAGCACGGTAGTTTAATAAACACTTTGCAAAAGTGTTTACGTAGTCTCTCACGATACGAGAAGGGGTACCAAGGGTGGCGTCCGAAGCCTTCGTAAATATCGACCGTACATCGGTGGGAATTGCTGATCCAAGTTGGTAAAAACAACGTCGTTAACGATCGCGCGTTAATGTGCACTACGCGTGTAACTTTATGGCAACTGCACGCTCGAGTGGATGCGTGATTCTACGAGCGCGACTCGGAATTCCATTGCCCTCATTTGCTCCGAACTTTACAAAACTTTCTCCACCCTTTCCGCAAAGTATCCTTCTCGTGCGCCCGCATGACGTAGCATGTATCATCGTCGGCGCGAGAATAATTAAAATATATTCTGTTGATCTCGCCGCATATCACCCGCCGCGCGCGAGAATGAAGAACAAAACTCGCTTGGGACAATGGAACGATGGGACAATGATGAGAAGAAAAAGCTTCCAAAGGATCTCTGAAGTTAACACATTTTTCATTTTTGCTTTTTTGATATAAAATAAAAATGCGGAATATTTTTTATTTTTACATCAAGTTGCGGTGCAATCTACTTCACGTTGCTTTGAACCATTCTTTGGTTGATCAATTCGTAAAGTTTCTTTCTTCCGATTGGTCAAACATTTGCAGCGTTAAGTGGATTGAATTCTGTAGAATGAAAAATACTGCTGCAATTATACACGTAATTATTTTGTTTAAAAACAGAACATAAAACCCAAGTTCTTAAAAAAATATTCTATATATTGTACAATCATCTTATAACAAAGGAAAACGTTTCGATTTGTCATGTTTGATCATTTTCAGTATTATTAGTAATTTTAGAATTCTAATTTAAATTGAAACTGTATAGAACAGTGTCAAATGGAACATATCTAATAATAAATTATGTCGCTCACATGTCATGTAAGTTGAAACTGCAGAAAAGTGTCAAGTAATAAAACATCTAATTATAACTAACATCACTTATTTATCGCTTGCATATCATATAAGTAAGCGGTATAATTAGAATTCTAAAAGTGTAAATAATACTGAGAATAATCTAATAATAAGATCGAAACATTTATACTCTTTTATAGTGAGATGATTGTATAAAGAAATGCTTTTTTGCTATAAGAACTAGGCTTTTATGCTCCCTTTTTATAATATTGATTTATTCAAAGGCTTTGTATATATTCATCACATACGTGAGAATTTTTTTATATCAATAATAAAATGTTTAAAATATATAATGAAAGATTTTTACATTAATAAAATGCCAACTTCACAGATCCGCTTTCGAGGTGTGTACCTGAATCGAGTTTCTTCAGCGGATACGAAGTGCTACGTTAATATAAAGAGATATATAAAAGGTCTGACACGACGGATATATTCGATTTGATTGGTATTGACCATTGAGGTAAACTTTCTTCTTCGCGCACGTGCCCGAGCATAAATGCAGCGAGGATTGCGAGGAAATACGTATCTTTCTTTTTTCTCTCCGGGCAACAAGTTCTCATTCCGCGCTCCCTGCATTTATCAAGATCGTAGATTCAAATTTATTCCTGTCGTGCCGGTGCGGTATGCGCCGCTGGCGCGCATTGTAACGCGTCTCTTCGGAGGTGCAACTGGATGCAATATATTGAGACATCGGGCGCGAAGCTTAGAATATCGTTGCTCCCATTTCTGCGGATTTTCGTCCGCGCATGGAACACGATATTTCTTGCGGCACCAGGACAGTTTCCTCGGCTCTTTCTTGGCCGTCGCGTTTACTTCCGATCTCGGCGACCGTATAATAATACCCCGAGGTCGAAATTTCTGTCGTCGATATTCGCGCCGTGTCACCAGAAAGCTATTCCGCAACCCCGAATTTGATTACATCGATACGCGAGGACAGTAAACACCGCAACAATCTGCCAAATGTTTAATTGTTCGAACGTACGTCAATATATATTTGTAACATCGCAGCACTATAGATGTATCGCAACGTTTCGTTTACGCGTATAAATTTACACGTTATTTGCGCGACACCTATACCCTGTTTACTTTACCAACTAGCAATCTCGAATTCGAGCGTGTATATGGATTTTGAGTGTCACACGTCCGAAATGAAAATGTAAAAACAGAAATGCGACGGAGATTGCAAACGGACGACGGTGTTTATTATCCGGACCATATAATTCACAATCGTAGAATTCGATGTATAAATATTGAATGGTAAACAAATGTTTTTCTCTCTTACGATAACCAACCCGTACATCCAATCTTGTGCGATGCAATAAAAATAAAGAGTTACTCTGCGTCTATGGATTTTATAGAGTTTTGATTTTATTATCGAGGTGCTTCTTCTCGCGGACCAATCACGTTTTTTAACGTATGAATCCCCAGTATCGCTAATTCCTCGACAATTCAACGTATGCTCGCTCGATCTCATCACGTTCTAAAAACCTCCTTTTCCCACTCGTTGTCTGGCAACACGATAAAGTAAGAGGAGATGAAGTAAGCCCGTAATCCCAAACGAATGACGATAGATCGGATTGCGGAAAATGCCGCGGAATCGCGCGAAGGTGGAGTTCGGTCTTTTATGCAGCGAGAATCGATCTTCCGTTATAATACAGCGAAATATTCGCTTCTGAATCGAAGCCGCAAGTTTTGAAATTCTTCAGGCGTGAATACGAAGCGCGAGACGGTCTGTGGGCGTAGACGACATTTGGATATCGATGAAGATATAATGCACTCTGTTGAGCGTCTTCCCTGCAGACTTGGAGGTGCAGACATCACGGAGGCGAAAGGCAAATTCGTGACTACACGCGCCCAGTTGATGCTTGTATCCTCTTCGCCTATATCCATTCGTCGTGATTTTTTTTTTTTTTTACTGACAAGCCGAGAGGCATTATCGAGAATCGATCGAGACGCTATAGCGCTCTGTTTCTCTCCCTGTCTCTGCTCGACGGCGAGTCAGATGCATCGCGTGTTATCGTCTCTTCCGGGATATCCTTGACAACGAGACAACCAATATCAGCGGTCAATCGGTCACCGCAGATTCCGAATGCGATAGATACTACTATACGAGAATACATCGGTTTGATTTCGGTAACCGTAATCGATATTTTGTCTCTTTGATATCTCGGTCTGTAGCTGACGCTACGTAATAAGAATCATGCGTTTGATTGATTTACAGGTGGAGCCGTTATTATGGTACCGCCGACGAATCAAACGAAGCTGGAAGGCGAGAAGGTGCAATTTTCTTGCGAAGCAAAGGCACTTCCGGGTAACGTGACGGTGCGCTGGTTTCGCGAAGGCGCACCTGTCACAGAGGTCTCTGCTCTGGATACCAGAGTGTCCATCAAGATAGATGGTAGTCTGGTTATCAACCCCGTCAGCGCCGATGACTCCGGTCAATATCTGTGCGAGGTCACTAATGGCATCGGCGATCCTCAGACTGCTAGCGCCTATCTGAACGTCGAGTGTAAGACTTGTTCGAATTATTAAATCAAATTAGAATTTGTGAAATTAAAATTTAGAATTGAAATTTGAAAAGATTTTTTATGTCCAAACACTATGGATTGAACAGTGTGTTTCAAACGCGATGCTTAATCCGAGTTCTAAGTATGATTAATGTCCAATTAATGTCTTTCTCGTGGATTTTTCACGATTTTAGATCCAGCGAAGGTTACGTTTACCCCCACTGTCCAATACCTGCCGTTCCGTTTGGCCGGTGTGGTCCAGTGTTACATAAAAGCCAACCCACCCTTGCAATACGTGACCTGGACCAAGGATAAACGCCTACTCGAGCCTTATCAGACAAAAGACATTGTTATCATGAACAACGGCTCCCTGCTCTTTACACGGGTCAATGAGAATCACCAAGGCAGATATACCTGCACGCCTTATAACGCCCAGGGCACGCAGGGCAGCTCGGGTCCGATGGAGGTCCTCGTACGGAACCCGCCTGTCTTCACCCTCGAGCCGGAAGTAGTGTACACGAAGAAGGTCGGCGAAACGGTCGAGATGCACTGCGACGCTCAAGAGGCCGACGGAACGCAGAAACCAACGATACAATGGCATCGGGTATAATCTCGTTTAGAAAAAATATCCGTTTAGACTATTAAGACAAATTTTCATTATTTTATTTTATTTGCCATTTTTAAATACATTTTTCTTGAACGATGTAATAACGGTTGTAATAATATTGCTGGCAAAATAAGCATTTTATCATTCCAACATGGAACAAATAGGTTTACTCTAAAAAATAGAATTTAACACCGAGAGTATTAAATATATTATTCTTAGGAGCATATATATGGTGTGATTTAAACGGTATATATTACCATAAGTTTTAAATCCACACTATGTTGTTCATATCAGCACGCACATGATGTTAAATTAATAAACTTACATTTTTTTTTAAGAGAATATATATTAATCATCGGCAGTTCTATTGTTAGGAAGTATTTTCGACGAGCTGTCTTGTCATAATTTTGTAAAACATTTCCAAAATGATCTCAGAGAGATGGCGGACCTATCCAACGTACACGCTCGAAGATTGTCGGTGGCAATTTAACCATAGAGAGCCTTCGACGCGCAGATTTCGGGTTTTATCAGTGCGTCGCCTCCAACGAAGTTGCCACCATCTCAGCCTCGACGCAACTAATCGTCGAGGGAACGCAACCCCATGCACCTTACAACGTGTCGGGCACTGCCACGCAATTCGCGGTATCGCTAACTTGGTTACCAGGCTATTCCGGTGGTCCTGATTACAAGCAAGATTATACTATCTGGTGGGTATACGGGATAGGCTTACAGGTATTATCATTATTAAGATTCTACAGCGCGTACTATAATTGGCCAAATAACAAGAGATGATCCTCCAATCTAGCCTCTCCAAGAGAGAATCCTCTATATCGCAAAAGCAATTTTACTTATATAGTACGTGTTATAACCATCGATATCACTTATAAGTGAAAAATTAAACCTATTTTGAAAATATTTTATAATCTTTAACATTTTATTTTTCTTTTATGGTTACTTCCGTTCAGGTACAGGGAATCGGGAACTTCGGAATGGAAGACAATCCCCGTAACTCCATCGGGCAGCACATCGGTAACCATCAACAATCTTACGCCTAGTACGCTCTACGAATTTCAAGTAATCGGAAAGAACGCCCTGGGCGAGGGAATGTTGAGTAAAGTCATCACAGTCAGGACGATCGGTAATATAAATTGCGTTACGTTCAAATTATTTTGACTATTGAAGTTTTTTACAAATTTCCTAAATAAGAGACGTGCAAAGAACGTGCTTAAATTTAATGAGCAAAATTCGATAATCTCGAAACAAATATTAAACTATTTCACATCATGATTGAGTAGCTATTTATCATGTATCTCTATCAATTAATAATATTAACTGTAGATATTTTTATTCAGTATTAATGCTAATCTAATGAATAGTAACTAACAAATCGCTAATCATTTATTCTGATTAACAAACTAATCTTCACTATTCATATAAATTTCTTTTTCACTCCTATCTATCTGCATTCTCCAAGACGTTAGCTTGCCTCAGTCGGCGACTGATCAACCCGCCTCTTCGGATCAAAGTGGTAAGATTCGAATGAAGTTATTACTTTTGACGCGATTATGGTTTTGAAATGGAAAAAAATAATGAAAATGATGAAACTCACGGAGAAAAAATGTTTAAAAAATGCATTTTACGCGAGCCATCAATAAAAGCGGTTATACTGTCGTAAATTTTAAATGTGTGAAATGCATCGGGGGTAACGTATGGTACAATTTCTTCAAGATGTTAAAAATCGACGATTTTTACTGCTAGTTTAAATCTGCAAGTTGGCGAAACGCGATCAGTTCGGAATATCTCGGAATATCCGCGAGCCGTGCAATTCACTTCGTAAGCTGAGAATGGCATCTCGATGACTGTCGAAGAGAAATTCATACGTGAGGAGTGTCGTTCTCGTCTCACTCTGCTCTGATTCTCTCATCGGGATATCGATCCGAGAGTCGAAAAGTCGCGCGACTTCTTCGGCTGTAACCGTAAGGTGGAAAAAAAAAGAAAAAAGAAGGAACAAAAAAAAGTAAGAGGAAGGCGACAAGATAAGAAAAGGGGGGAGGAAGCGGGGAGACACCGAATGCGGATGCGGAATGAGGCGAGGAGCGGAGAAAACCGAGAAAAAGGGATGGAGGGAAGGAACGGAGACTTCCGTGGCGACTTATCGTATCGGAAAACCCATCGAGCCGTTCATTCTGCTTCCGCTTTTATTTCCTTCCCTCGAATCCACCGGTTCATTGCCTTCCATTTGTACACACCGTACCTCGAGCATCCCCGATACCGACAGCTAGGGATTTCTATCTGGTTACCTTTCAAGCGTTTCTTTCGCCTATCTGACTCTTTTCTCGTTGTACCTTTTTCTCATTGTAACGCTTTTTCGCTCCTTACGTTTGTATCTCACGCACAAACCCGCATCATCATTGGTTTCGCTTGTTAGCCTACACCGACTTCGACAACGCTGGTTAACCACGAGAGGGTTAACTAAATTTTCTTTTTCTATACTTGTACTACTTTTCTATATCTCTCTATACAAAGCGTACTAAAATTCACATTTCGCAGAAAAAATTTCCTTTAACTTTCGAGAGTCGATTTTTTTCAACGAACAATTTATATATATTTCGTGCTCAAGTTTTATGTTATAATTTTATCCAAGAATAGATAAAATTTGCAAAGATATATCTCGATTCGTTAACTGCTTTGACATATTTGTGAAAAAAAAATTAAATTTTTCCAAAATCCCTTACAGTGCATAGATATAAAGTTTTGAATAATCCTAATTACGATTCAAAAACAGATACCCAGTAAAGTTAATTGACATTGATTTAAACAGATACTACGAGTTAATTGACATTGATGAAACCAGCTTTAATAACAGTTAGCAGAAAATTTCACAATAGTCCGCTTAGATTTCATTCACAAGAATCTAGAAATAAATCACAGCTTATTTTGCAACCTTACGAAAACTTCAATGACAACTCATTTACTTTTTAAGCAGTTTAATTTAATTTTTTTTTTTTAAGTTTTGCTTCATTTTTTCTGTTTTTTTTTTTTTAATTTCAGATATTCTTGATTACAATACCCTCGTATTACCGACTGATTCCTCAGGAAACCCCGCGTTTCCGCCAATCATACGACCGAAAGGTATATAGTTTCATTCTTTTTTTATTTATATTATATTATATGTATTACAAATAGAATTCATAAAATAAAAATAATCCTTAATTTTATTTTCTGTATTAAGATAGCGATATTATCGAACGGTTATTACATGATTTTATTGAAACGTTCGAAAGTGTTCGTCGTCGCTTTCACACCGCCCACGCGTTATTTACAGTCGATGTGACTACGATGACATACACAATCGTCATTCTCCATCTCTTTCTATCTCGCAGAATCTTTGACAAGAATCTTTCGCGCCGCTGAAGAAGGCGAGAGTACAAAAAAATCCATTTTTTCTTCCAAGAATGTCTTTCGTTTCGCATGAAGGAGATTAACCGCTATTACATGCTGTGGTGGACATGAAAAATAAGTGTCAAGCAGTCCGACAAGGCAATAAGAATGAAACGCGTGTTCGCGCACACCCACGCTCGCATACAGTTCGGCATACCGCGAGGAAGATACGGAGGAAAATAAAAACGAAATCCTCTTAGCCGCGGCGTACTGGAGAGAGCTAGACGGGAGGCATTCCAGGAGGGAAAGCAGGAAATAACATCATACATTTTGCACGTAGCAGACGGTTCCAAACAATCTACTCCGCTTTGGAGCTGAATAAACCCAAAGAAAGTTTTAGTTGCCTCTCCCGCGAGTCGAGTTTCAATCATATTCGGATCGTCGGGCAGAAATAGATGTGAATAAAAAAAAAAAGAGAGAGAATAGCAATACAATTTCAGCATCCAACAATTTTTATACGTAATTACATTGAAGTGAAAACTTTACATTATAATTTGTAATTTTTTTTTCGCGTAGCAGCTTTAACATTCATTTGTTTAATGTAATGCATTGTGTGTATTTTATAATAAAATTTTTATGAATGTAATCCTCAACTATGTTCCTCCGTAGGAATAATAACTATTATGTTTGCGCAAAACTAATAAAATATAAAATCCTCGCCTGTGTAGATACCGGCAAAAGCGAAAAAAAGCGCTCATAATGGATAGTTTGGGGAAGAGAAAGAAAATAACTTCATATATTTTATACACAAAGCAAATATTCGAAACAATACAAGTTGCTAATTTTGCAATTTTGTGACCAAACCAAGCTATTTGTCGGGGTTATTTTCAATTTTTTCACGCCAATTTCGTATGGTTGCATGGTTATGTGATGAAAAACCAAACAGTTCGTTACTATTAAAATTACCCAAACGCCATAATTTATTTTACGTCCACAATAAAGACGAGTTTTTTGCGAAAATAATTTGTAGTATTTATTTCTTTATCCCTACACACATCAGAGTAAACGAAAATTCATGTATTAATATACAAAGAGAATTTCGAGCGTTTTCTTTCGATTTTGGAAATTCGACTCAATTTTGCCGGTTTAATGATAGATTAATCAATTTTGAATAATACCAAAACTTGCGTCTTTTAAATCGCCAATATAAAGAAAATTCACAACTTCGATAAATTCATTTAATGTTTTAAACAAATGCAAAAAGGTCACATTGTGATTCTACATATACATATACACCATCCGACTAATAACTAAGAAAATGTATTGTTTGCGTAATCAACAAAATAAACAAACAAGTGAAAAAGTTTTTACGTTTACCGGTTGCGTAGAAAGAAACGAGTCAATTTCGTAAATTCCGTCGAAGTATTTTCCAGAACAACGACCATTAAATTGATACGAGGGAAATAGGAGAATAGTACGAGATATTTGCTTTGTTGGAATAAACCCGTGGAACAGATTGGGTGAATCAGAATATAACGGAATATAAACAAAAAAAAAGAAACTGAAAGCCAAATAAAATATTTGCACCTCTTCGTACGAATTATTATTCGTGTAATGCGAGCTGTTTTCTTGCTCGTACTTTACACATCTCTTTTTTTTATTACAATTATGCGTTGTAATGCACAGTAAATTGTAATGAAATCATGCTATAAAAAAAAATGGTGCCACTCGGATGTTAATAAGGTCAACGCACCGAAGGTGTATACACCGAAAGTACTTAGATCATAACATTACATGTGTAAGAAGTGATGAAAAAAGCTGATCTCATGCCCGATCAATCCTATTAACGTGTTGTATCAGTAATTATTTCATTCTGATCTAGTCTAGATTTCACATTCAATGACTGGAATATATGCAGATTTATTTATATATACTTCATCCTTTTTTTTTTATTTTTTTGTCGTTTACATTTAACTTAAATATAAATATTCGTATATTATATTACACAAAAAAAAAAATAATACACAAGTGTCAGTCATTTTGAATCTCGTAGCATATCGATAATTTATTAGACGGAGACACATTCAGCGTCATGTATAAAAAAATAATGAATATTTAAAATTCCTGTCTCAAAAAGAGCGTAGTTGATCCATCATGTTTATACCAGCACATTTGCTCATATCAGCCAATGCAAAGAAATTTTTTCCCTTTTTTTGTGTAAGCGATATATCGCAGTCGACCCAAATACGTGACGATGAAAAAAGTCAGACATACAACTCGATGGCGCGATGGATTTGATAGATGCGAAAATGTCGCTGCGGTCGGAACGGCGTTAACGTTTTCATCAAAAAAAGCTTTCCGCTGGCACTGCAACTCGGTGCATCACCGAAATTATTCTGGAATTACGACAACAACATTTATTTGCTGACGCCAAAGAGATTTTTTCCTACGTTGGTTTTTTTTATTTCGCATATATATATATATATATATATATATATATATATATATATATATATATATATATATATATATATATATATGGCACACGCAAAATTTTAAATCTCTCTCTACTTTATTACTGAAAGAGAAAAAATTATTTGCTCGTATTGCAACATTAAAAATACCGAATGATAATTATAAAAATTATAAAAATACACAAGTGCGAGATATATTATCTTAGATTGATATATTAAAATTAACTTAATCAATTTCCAATTGACCTAATCGTCACGATTTAAATTACCAGGACCAAAGCCAGGTTCTCCCAAGAATCTCACGGTGACGGAAATCAGCAACGGTTTCCTAATAACCTGGCAACCTCCTTCGGAAAAAACCCATCTTATCCAATACTATACTATCAAATACAAGACGGACGGACCTTGGAAAACGCTCAACAAGGGCCAAATACGACCCGAGGAGACCAGTTATTTAGGTGAGATACTTCTCTCTCTCTCTCTCTCTCTTTCTCTGTCTGTCTTTCTGTCTGTTGATCGCAATGATTATTATGCATAAAATTTCTTATACGAGCATCGGACAGGCGTTCAACATCGAATACGAGTAATTTCAAAGTACTCATGAACCAATATTACTTATCGAACCCGATTTTCGAGAGTACGGCTTTCATGCGATTTCCGTTTAACGCGAACGCCCACAGTGAAGAACCTGGTCGGTGGTAGGACCTACTATTTCCAAGTGTTCGCCAACTCAGCCACGAATTACGGCGCGAGCGACCAGGTGAAGTTTCCCGTGCCGGCTCGTGTTAAGCACAAAGCGATCACCGCAGGCGTTGTGGGCGGCATCCTCTTCTTCCTTGTCGCCATCATCCTCAGCATATGCGCGGTGAAGATATGCAATAAACGGAAGAGACGAAAACAGGAGAAAGGTATGAACGCCCCGTGGCGTTATCGACGTATCGTACACCATTTTGCCCGCAATTCGTCTGGACCTGTGCTCCTGGTTGTGTCGTCTCTATATTGATTTTTGTATGAGAAACAAAGTTCTCTCAAAGAGAAGTCTCATGAAATTAATACCGTATATAATGAAGATATTTAATGAAATTGTAATTAAACGCTTTCGCTTAATCGTTTGAATCTAAATGTGTTTGATTTTAATGTACTAACTGCTAATTAATTGTTTTAATTTATTATGTTTTTGGAACGAAACAGTGTATCTAATAATAAGTTAATTTTGTGAATATTGTGCGTTATTTCTCTTACTTGGTCCGTCCTAGGCCCGCTATTTTTTAACTTTTTACTAAAAACTCGCTTTGTGATCAACCGTTTGTATTCAGTGCCCAGGACTGGTCAAAGAGACGGCTACGATTTGGCAACACAGGCACCAGGCATGCACCTGTGAACTTGAACATTCATAGTTAACATAGTTATGTAACATTGTAGAACTGCTTTCAGCGTATAATATGGTGGCCTGCCGGGTCACCGACGCCAGGAACGGCGCAGGGCAGGGGCCCCAGGGAACAGTGCCTTTGAAAAAGTGAGTGTCTATCATCCGACATACCATTATCCCCTCAGGTCCAGGGAATCTTAACTTACGATGTGCTTTGGAGCAATTTTAAAGGCCCCAATCATACAACAAGTAGACCGAAGGGGTCGCAGTTGCACTAGAAATCCGTTTCATCTACCAATTAAAATCTGAGATTAGCAAAAATATGTAAAATTCAAACCATAATCAATAATTTTGAGAAATAACATCTCTTCCAGTTGTAAACAAATATTTCTTACGATAAAATTTTCCGAGTATAATCCAATATGTAAATAATAATTTCGTAACAATCAATAAATGTTCGTAGACGAATTCTGACGGTAACGCAAATGATTGATGAATAGAGTTAAAACGATGTCTCTTCAGAAGCCGGAGAGGCCACTATGCATTTGAGATATGGAGTAGATAGTACAAGTATCGAATCTCGATTTTGTACCGTCAAAATGCGTCATAAAGTGCAGATGCGACTTCGAAGAAACATATATCACTTAGGTTTAGCCAGAACTAGCGATTAAGTCTACTCCACTCCCTCTTAACGAGCAATAGGCGACTGAAGCACCGCAAGCATTTATGAAACCTCTCATGAATAATCTTCTAGCCAACAGATATTCGAACATTCACCTCTAATATAATATAATATAATTACGCAACATACAATTTAATATTTATATTGCTTACTGGATGTATATCAAAATTCATATATACTTCGTATCGCTCTTACGCCAACGACTTTCTTGTGCAGCCACATCTTTAATGATAATCCCTCTTTCGTAATGTCACTTCTCAAATTAATAATACGGCTCGATCATTTTACGAGCTAATCGGAAGTAACGATAACATGCCGTTGTCGTACCAGCGACACGTTTACAAAGACATATACGACCACAAGACTTTAGCAAGACGTACGGAGAGAAATCCATTCTCTCTCCTGCCGTCAGCTCGATCCGCTTTGACAAAGGACAAGCGCTATCCCTCTGAAACGGGGGATTAAGGAAACGAGGAACGACAGAACCTCTTTTGATCTACTTGCGCCATACATAACACTATGAGCTTCTAGATGTATATATCTCGTAGCAATTAAACCGGCAGACTAAACCGCAGCAGCAGAGGTATTCTGGACGAGGTTGGAGAAACGATCTTTCGATAATCGATAAGTAATTTACGCAAACACTCCCACGCGCAACACCACGTGCGTGCGTGCATGCGTGCACGTTTTCATTAGACATAAACGAAAGAATCGAGTTCGCTATGTGCGATCTGGCGCTCCGAATCGAATCGGATTTCGTGGCTCGAATCAAATAACACGCGGCGTATCGTACGCAGCGGATAATTGCGAGTGCGATAACCAATTCGTTTCTCGCATCGAAACTCGTTTTTTTCCGACCGATGCGGGAAAATACGAAAAGGAACGAGAGTTTCGCGTAAGAGACGGGCTTTTCGTAAATAAATGAACCGGATCAAATACAGCGGTCTCTATTACATTCATTCGATTTAAAAAGTGTAAGAGGAACTCGTGGAACAGCACTGAAATGCAAATGCAATTATTTTATTAAATTAGTAAAGAATAAGATCTCGTACTTTTTTTTTATACAATCATCGCGAAATCGTGTGATTTGATTCTATCGAGGAACGGACGCCTAGATTTGGATCGCCATGATCGCGATTCGCGCCGAATCTGAAACACGTACACACCGAAGAAGGAAACTACGAATGAGAAAATGAGAAATGAACGAGAGGAAAAAAAAGAGGAAAGAAAAGAGGAAAAAGACGAGCCACGGCGTAGCGCGTGGGGCGTTCGGCTTATATTAGTGATTTCATGCCAAGCGGACTGCACGTGTAGTGGCGGATAACACAATTGTGACTCTTGTTATGATTTCCATCGCGGCATCCAAAAGTCCACAATACGACTGCAGTGATGCCTATTCTGGATCGTAACTCGCCATTGACTTCGCGCCGCCTTTTTATCGTATTATACATATAGCGTTATTCATTTCCGGCCGACCCTAAACCCGCGATGAACTTTAGAACAATTCATTCGACCCAGTCATGTTCACTATCACCGTTTTATCAACTGCACCGTTGCCCTTGCTTGATTCTCTCGAGTGCAATCATTAGCGGTACTGTCGTATCAAATTTCAATGCTTCTCGTGTGTCTTGACGCTTATCGTGAGGGTGCTAATAGAGATCCAGTCTTCTTTATCCCGTTCCTTCGTGAATTATATTTTTACACGCACAGGCAACATGTTCACGCTCATGCTTCCACAATACGAACCTCGATCCACCAATCGAATTTATCGAGACCGAGTACGATCGCACGATATCTAATACAGATTTTCTCGTAGGTTCGAAGCCGATTGCGAAGCCATACCAAAATGAACTGCACACATATGTAATTATAAGCAAAATTAATTTCGCAGCCATGGCGCTGTGTTCTCGATTGTCTTCTACATTGTCTAATTTGCGATCAAGCATGCGCTTTTGTAATTAATATATTCGAATATATTAATTGTCCTCCTTTTTCTTTTACTATAATCAGCAGGCTAGCTCTCTTATTAATATATTTCAATGTGGAGATATTGCTATCATAATCTAGACTTGATACTGCCTTGCGTGTAACTACTGTCTCCAGTTCTTCGAACAATCCTGCAAAGTATCTATTTCATGCTTCCATCATGTATCATCCATCGTCACCCTCATGATAAGTCGAAACATTCGCAAATTTTCACTGAAAGCGCGCTCGCGTTTGTCGAGAATTATATCGAGAGACATCGATATTGCACGTTTATATACCTACACGTTATATATCCAGAACGGGCTGGACGGTTCAGCCACTGCCAAGAGTCCTTTTTTTCTGAGGCCCGCATTCGTGGTCACGTGTCTGGGCTGTGTGCCAAGTAGAAGCAACGATTGCAATTTTCTAATGTTCCAACAATGTCGGACAAGAGACATTACACTAATTTTCTCCGGATAACTTCCCTCGTCTTGAGATAGAAAAAAATTATGAAATTAAAATAAATTAAGGCCTTAACGTAATTTTTTTCTATACGTTAAATAATTCCACGTATTTTTTCTAATGACTGCAATCGATGTGTTTGTCGTGACTGACTAGACAGCTCAAAATATCGACTACGAATACAGGCCTAAAACGATCTCGGTGCTATGTACCTTGATTATGATCAGAGCAAGGATCAGAAGAGAGCCGACGCGAACTAGAGAATAGCGTCAAGGGTCGTGAGACTTTGGAGAGGAAGGACGCAGGGTGATACTTCGTAAACGTTATCAGTTCAAAAGTGTGAAAGAAAGGAATTGAAAAGAAAAGCGTCGGTAGATAGTAGAATCAATCGATCGTAGTCAATAAAGAGATTTCCCAGCTACCTTTCTCTCAATCTCTATTTTTTTATTTCTTTCGCCCTGCGTCTCCGACCCTAAATCGATTCTCGCGCAAAACGGCAACCATGAGGAAACCGACAAGCAAGTCAAGCCAGCTAAGATAGCCGTTGCGACAAAAAGGAAAAAAAAGGAAAAAAAAAAGGAAAAATGAAAGACAAGACAATAAGAAATCGTGGGCGTCTCTTGTCCTCCTCTCTCTCTGTGTTTTCTGTAGGTCGACAAATCTAAACGCGTGCGGCGAGTCAGTCTCGACGCTGACCCGTTGCAGCCCGTTGAATCCGCAACTACCACCACCACCACCACAACCTCTTCATCAATCACCACTTCCTACGCAAGTAACCACCCCCGCCACTGCCATCTCGGAGCCGGTCCACGAGCAGGCCCCCCCGAACCGTGATCGTGACCATCACGCACTCCACCTCGATAATCGAGATTACGAGAGCGTGTTTATCATAGAGAGGCGGAACAGTAAGCCTAACCTCCGCTAGCCACACAGAAAAAAACCAAGTACTACCACTACTACTATTACTACTACTACTGCTACTACTACCACTACCTATTACTGCTACTACTACCGCTACTACTGCTACTATTACTACCACTACTACGTACCCGAGACCACGGTTGCTCCCAAGAACCATGAAAATAAGTTCCCGCCGACGGTATACGTATATGTGTTTGTGTGTGTATAAACACGTTGTACCGAGCGGTCCGTCGATCGATCGAACGAACTGTCAGATCGATTTCATTCTCCGTCAGTCGTCGATCCTCCTCGGTCGATCGAGCGAGCGAAACGCCAATTGCCGGTGGGACACATGCCCGTTACTACTACTATACTAGTACTACCGCTACTACTCTACCACTACTGCTACTACTATCTACTACTATGCGAGACTACAGCTCTGCAATGTTACCTGCTAGGACCTACTAATCTACTACCACCTACTACTATCTACTACTACTTAGGATGATTGTCATGACTGTAGATGAGATCTGCAATACAGGCAAAACAGCTAGGAGTTCACACTAGTAACATCCAGTCAGTACCCTAATACCTTCGTTCGGCGGTCTTAGGGAGTACATAGATAAAGGGAGATCGAGGCAAGGCGGTAGATTTCTTTCTCTTTCTTTTTTTTCATTCTTTTCTGCCGATCTGCGAAAAATTTTTTGCGATTTTTTTTTTTTTTTTTTCACGTATTGTTCTGCATTACACTCACTGTCATTAATATATCGATCTATTATACATTGCTTCTTTTATGTACTATTTCGAGAACGAACCAGGAGTAAGTCCCAGCGCGGTGTCCGCCTTTCTGCCAGTCTATTATCGTGCTTTACTCATTTCATTGCTCTTTTTTTGCGTGCACATATTTCTTCGCTCTATATAGGATTCATTGTCACGCGCGTTTATTATTATATATAAGCATAAATTGTTATTACCTACTTTGACTCAATCTATTCCTCCATTCTTCACATTACTGCTTCTTTGTGAAAATCACCATTTATGATGTACACTTCTTTCCTTTATCAAATTACAAAGTAATTAACTCATCATCTTTATATTAGTGTTTAATTTCCTTTTTTATTATTAACTGGCAAATTTGCGCCAAGCGCAATATATTCGAGAGGTGCAACATCTATTTAACTATTCTTTTTCTTTTTTTTTTCGAAAACATTTTATCTCAGAGAGTACAGTAACTATCCTAAATAGTTTTCAATGTCTTTTATATGGAAGACATCTATTATTGCTTTGAAACGCTAGATTTCAGATAGATTGCGCCTATTGAATAATTCAGTAACTTTATTGTGTTCTCTTTGCGATTTTTAAACTTCATCTTATATAATATCCTTAATATCTTTTTATCGCTAATGTATTCTTTGTCGCATTTGCATTCATATTTTGCAATTCTTCATATTCAATTTTGATTTATATATCTATTAACATTAAACTATCATTTGTATATTTCTTTTGCTTTTACAGCGCTCAACATGATTGCAATACTTTTCAAAGTATGTCATATATTTCTTTATAAATATTTTCTTCTATAAATATTTTCACGTATTTACACAATTAATTATTAATATTTTGCAGATTATTATTATTATAAATATGACACTAAAAGGTATATTAACAATGCGTTCATTCGTTATCACATCACTATATCGCTTGACTTAAAAACTTTCACTATGACGACGCTTTCATTTATCACTTATCTTTTCAATTAATTGTTAATTGACTGAGATAAATTTGCGGCGACTCGATGTGTTATTCATATAATGAATTTTATTCCAATTCATTTATCTACGTTGTTTCCTTCGAAAATTATTTCCGTAGAAACGGCTTTATACTTTATTAAAATAACCATCGAGTTTCCTTATGATAGTCAATTCTTAATTTTCACCGCGCAATGAACATTTCTCTTGGATGAATTCTTTTAGCAATTCTTGAATGAAGTTACTGGTGTGTTTTCATAACTTCTCGCATAAATATTCACGTATAAATTTATCTATCAGGATTTGTAATAATTGATTTGTTAAAAATTATCCGGTGACTTGCTGTATATTTCTAGATCATTGGAATTGAATTTTAGTTTGATGCATGTGGTTTAATATTACATAACATATTACGTTTACAAGGCATCTCTAATTAAAGACGAGTCATGACGATAACATTTAAAGAATTTCGAAGCACATTTCACCAATGCCGTGCATACCATTTCACATTACTAATCACGTCTCTCTTAGCTCGTCACATCACGGTATTAGTTCACAACATTAGTCTTACAACGAGCAATTGCTATTCTCGCAATACCAATCCAATACGATTCTCTGCCCATACATACACATCGCATGTGACACGAGCATCGCCTTCATATTTCGTCATAGATGCGAAAAACAATATTCGTATGTCCGATAATAGCCGGCTGACGAATTGGTCGTTATATCGAAGAAACGTTTGTCAGAGGAATCGAATAAAACTTCGATTTGTACGACACCAAAGTTTCAGCGGCATAGATATGGCACGTCGAGCTGCAATTATTGCTGCAACGATTATTGCGGCGCGCACGGCCACGACGGAGCTCTAATTCAAGCTTCTTGTGTTATTTGATTGTTTCCAGTTTGTCGATTCTAGATGACCAATAAACAGACAGACACGCTCACGCTTACACGCGAACACGCGGCAATAAGCGCAAGGCGAAGATAGGTAAGCCGCGCTCGTTGCGGCCACGCGAAAACTTGTATTCACATATACATATACCCACCGTTGTCGTATCCACCTGTTAATCGTTCACGATGCCTCGTTGCATTATCCCATTCAACCCGTTAAAATTGACGTACACAGTTAAACCGACCCCGCCATCCTTAAGTCCGACCTAAAATTGATTTCAACGACAGTTCGCACTTTTATAATTTACTCGATTACGCCATAATCTTCGTGTTCCTACTTTTCTCTTACAGAAGTCGAGTGCTTCGAGGAGAATGAACATTAAATAACGTATAAAAATTCAATGAGATCGTTTAATCGAACTTTGCGGCGCTGCCACATTTACAAGGATTATCCTGTTAAAATGTAAATGACAGTTTGTAAATCATATCGCAATTACTCGCGATTTCTTTACTACGAAGCACTCGATCGATTATCTATATACTTGTGCCTCATTTTTCTACATGTTTCGCTATGTCTTTGTTATTTCTTATAATACTTTTTCCAAACGAGGAAACAGTGTACTGTTCAAAACTTTCTTTCAATACTTTCGTTATCCAATCCGACATTGATCGAGTCAAATCGATATATGACGATGAAACGCGTCTCCATCGAACACCCATAAGACACTATTTATCTATTTGCTCCCTAACACCACCGCCTAGAAGTAACGTTCGGTTATTTAGCGTTATATTTCTTATCATTATCGCTACGATATATTGTTTTTTGTGAATGTAATCGTTGTGTTACAACATTCTCTCTCCCCCATCTTTCCTTGCTGCCGGACCCGAAGGAGGAGAAAAGGTGACGAGTTTCGGAGCACCTAAATCCACAATTGCTATTCACTGATTGAAATCAAAAGAAAATGCAAAAGAATCGCGCAAAAAGATATCTATGAGAACGGAACAAAATTTTGCGAGCAAAAAAAAAGGAAAAATATATATACGAGAAATATAAAAATTCGTTTCGTGAAAAGTTAAAGAAAGAAAAAAAAGATCCATTCACTGCCGAGGCCAACCTATCCACAACCCACGTCACGCCCGACCACTCGTGCACCGGAATGTGCATGCGCATGCCTTCCCTGCCTGCATCCGTTATTCGTTATTATACGTACGAGTAATTAATTATTGATAATTATCTTGCCATATTTAACTTGAACATTGGCATTTACGTTACGTTTGTTCTAGTTATTTAACTTTCGTTCATTAACGTTGCGTGTCTTTTGCCATTCGTGTTGCACGTATTTACCATATCCGAGCGGCCGATGGACCACGTCGGAGGAAGAAGCGAATAATCTCAGAAATATTTGTTTTAGTAAACGATTTCATTAAATGAACAGTTCCGCGATATTTCACAAATAAATTCGTAGTGGATACCGAAATTTCTCCACAGTATCAATCTAAACAAAATAAAGAGAAAAAAACTGAAATTAAAAGAAGTAGATATTTCCATATTTATTATACTAAAAATAACTTACAGTAATAATATCAATCAATAATATCAATATTCAACAATCGGCTCATGTACATACATGTCTTTTTGTCATTTAATGTACACTTAGATTCGTGATAGAATAAAAACTATATATTTATTTTGGAGAAATTTGGGTACTGTAGAAAACAGGCGATGGATCCCGCGGATCCTATACGCCAAGATCATCCTCCAACGAGCTCGATCGGACCGTGCCTGCCATTCACCACTACCGTGATTGCTCTAACGCTTCTTCTATCCTATAGACCTAGAAAAAGCCGAGTACCAGGTTTAAGCCTCCTGAAGGAGATCCTGAGCCCGGATACCCCGGACTCATGCCGCTGTCGTCCGCTAGGCAAAATTTCCCGAGCGGCCGACGGCCGCTTCGTCGTGGCGGACTCGGTTCTCAGCTCGGCCAACAACAGCATCCTAGACGTCTCCAGCAGCGACGACGGTGGATTCCTGCCAAAGCAACGGCTTAAGTCCTCGTGGCGACGCCCCCTGGTTGGCATCAGCCAGCTAAGTCTGAGATCCGACGGTAGCGGCGTGTCCATAGGTCCCCTGCCATCAGGTTGTCATCATGGCGTTGTAAATCCTTTGGCGAGGATACCGCCCGCGAATGTTTGTACGATCACGTCACCTAGATTCCTGGCCAGTTCGCCGAGTGGGGCTCAGGTTCCTTGGACGCCTTTGTACTTCAGCGATCTCAGCTCTGTCAAACAACCATCCTCTGGCGAACGTTCCTTCCCAACACCACCCGGCTACCTCCAGCTTCGCAGCGTACACCAACGATACAGCCAAGAGTTACCGTCGCTTAAAGTGATCCATGCCGAGTCGAGGCGGTTCGTACCGGTTCAACCGTTAGCGACGTCTTCGCCGCCGCAGCCGGCTGGACGACCTAGGGCGAGGTTGCCGCCAAGACACGCAAGGCACGCCAGATCGGCACCAGAGCTCGCTGCCTCGCCCGACCTGGAGACTTCGCCTGAGAGCAGATCGAGCAGTTCGGGTTTCGGCAGCAAGAATACCTCGCAACAGAACCAGAGCTCAAGAAGTGGTAGCACGGTTGCCGAATGGAGACCGCCGCCTTACAGACCACCTCCACCGCCATTGGTGGGTCGCTGGCTTGAGCTTCAAAATCAGGCCAAGGTGGGACACACGCACATACAAAATGCCGTGGACGCCGGCAGCGTTGACGGCCACTACGAGTTCGATCCGGTGTCGTGCACGCCGACACCAACATCGGCCTCGACGCCTACGCGGGAGGAGAGACCGCCGATGCATCAGATCCACATTCCCCACATCCATCAAGTGCACACGGTACATCAACAGGCACCGAGGTATAGCAGAGAGAACATAGAGGCCCGAGTACAGGCGATGAAGGCGGAATTTCATCAGTTTCGGCAGAGACAGGCGAGAAGACGACAGAGTGCGCACTTGGAAAGTGCATGTTGAAAAACTTGAAGGAGATCTTGACGATCGATTAACGATTCAATTTCATTAGAACCGCATTAGAACCGCTGCACCGCAAGTCTAACGATCGAGTTGAAACGATTCGAATGGTTGCAGAGTTAAATACATAAATGTGTGAGACGAAAGTAATTCTCAAGAGAAGAGCTAAGAGAAATCTCGGAGGAAGCTAGATATCGTTCGCGATTAAATTTTGGCTGGCTTTCGATTACCGTAGAAGATCGCGCGTTTCAACACGGCGACGACAACGTGATCATCACCGAAGACCAACCACTGCAGCACAACGAGGATCATCATCACACGTGATTCCGCATTTAGAGGAGTTTAAGTCAATTCTAGTAGCTGGTCATCCATCTACAAAAGAAGGCTGTTATAAGCATCAGCTCAGGATACATAAGTTTCGCACGACCACGAGACGGGAGCGACGTAGTAGAACTGTACGTTAAGACGATAATCTTTCGGAGTTTCGCCCGTTTTACCGATTAAGAGGACCGACGAGTATCCTACGGGGGGAAAAAACAATCTCGATATCATTTATTCGGGGGGAGGGAAGGGGGGGGCTAATAACCCGGCGACGCCGATCGCGCTGGGACGATAATAGAAACGAAGTGCGTAAACGAAAATGTTTGAATCCAATAATTATTGGTCATATCCCGCGTACACCAACCACGCCTATGTCCGGTTTAGAGGACCGTGATTTTTAACGTTACTATATATAATAATGTAGAGGAACATATGGAAAAATTCACGGGGAACGAGCAGGAAGAGGACGCTCTTTTTTTTCTTAAACTCAGTGGAACTGTGCGCAGAAGAATGAGATATACTCCCGATTGGCTCAAAGGGATGCTTAACTGTATCGAAATCGTCTCGTATCACGATCGGGACGAAAGAAATGATGAGAAGGGAAGACGGAAAAGCAAAAGAAATGGAAATAGTTACGTCGGCATGATACTCCAAAGAAACTGTACCACTGTACATGCTCCGCGTATACCTTTTAAATATAAGATTAAATTTAATCGTATGCTGTAAGTAATAATTAAAAACGAAAGCAAAACAAAAAAGTAAGATAATCGAAGAATTACCACACACACTCACATATAGACACTTACATATGTACACTCACATAAACACTCATACATGCATACACGCACACACACACACCACACACACACACATACACATATATACGTACACACAAAATAATTATATCGATGAGCAATGGACTCGAAACGTGATATTAGGCCGAAGCTTGCCTCGAGATTGCTTAAGGACTCACTCGTACTGCACTGCCTGTTTAGGGTTTCGCTAGCGACCCAACATATTATCGGCACAATAATTTTTCTTAAGCAACGTAAAAACGAGAAAATAACAATAACGTTCTTCGAATCTACACGTTCGGCCAGTATAGCACGACGATTATGTGCGCACGTTCACCACGTATGTCACCGTATGTTGGCGACATGCTGGTTTACCGCCTATCGGCACTCCGGTCGTTCGCCGGTCATCCTTCTTGAATTAGATTAGTGACGCGAGCACGCGCATCGACGACAAACGATGTCGATTGGACTCTTAAAAAAAAAAAAAGAACAATGAAAATCATTAGGAAAAAAAATCCTTCAACTGCCAATGAAAAAAATGGGTCCGATAGTGCATTCGATTCATTTCGTACGAAGTGTTGACGTTGATTAAATAAACTAAAACTAGAATAATTAAGTGGAGAAGGATGACCGATAGACACACCGCCATCACCGCCGGGAGGGAGGTGCACGTGCGCACACACGCGCTGGTTGAACCGAAGTTCGTGTGTAATTAGAGAGACGAAGGAGTTATAAAACACGAAAGCGTACACACCACACACATGACAGGCATACGGAAATACATACATTCACAAGCAGCAGACAAAGAACACACAGACGCGCACATAATACAAGAGAGGCGTTCTTCGAAACCCACCTAATTCTCACCAAACGCATCGGATCATCTTGAATCACGAGAGCTCGAAGGCCGGCAATCGCCGATCGCGAGGGGTTCTCGGGCGAATCTACGGGCTAATCAGTATCGAGCTGCGCGACCTAACACGAGAATATATATCCCAGCGAAGAGGTATAACCTGCAGCGGCGCGCTCGTTTTTTCTCTTACCCCTTTTTTTCTAATTTTCTCTACACGTGCGACCGTAAAGACACCCCACGTAGGATCGGCCCGGCCCGCGACTCTCGGCGTTTTACTTTCTTTATAGTACAAACACTTATTTATACATACGTACGTATTATACATATTTATTATAAATATTAGCAAGGGCTCTACTCACGATTCAACTATACTTCGACGAACCATAACGGCGAGAGGAAGAGGACGAAGATGCGTAACAAGGAGCGGCGTGGACGTCATCAAAGCGCTCTATACAATTTTTGTTAAAATGTGCATGTATGCGTGCGTACGAAGCCGGATTCAAACCGAGCGAACAAACGTGAACAAACACGAATGAACGGATCCCTTCAATCAGGACCGCATTCAAGAACTTTATCCGGGTTTATCCAGGTATTTTATCTTTGTTGTTCACTGAATGCCAAACAAGGATAAAGTAATACCTAGGTGCATCCGAGTGGCTTTATAATATATCGCGATACAATTTGCATTCATCAACACGTTGTTCATTCGTGTTTGATCACGATCGTCTGCTCGGCTCGGATCAAGTTTGACGTGCGAGAAAAGGTGAACGTGCGAGAATACGTGGACGAGTGAATGGAGTAAGAACGAAAGTAGACTAAAGCCGGATCTAGACCGAGCAAACGAGCGCGAACAAACGCGAATGAATAACTTGCTTCAATGATTATGAACCGACGTTACGAGTACTGGCAGCTTCATTTGCGCGATATTGAAACAAGTTGTTCATTTGCGTTTGTTCGCGCTTGTTTATTCAATCTGCATTCGTGTTTTACACGTGAGCAAATGCTGTTGTTAAGACAAAACAGAGAGCATAATGTAACATACACGATCACGCAAAGATAACAAAAGAATAAAAAAAAAAGGCATACGATAAAAGTTAAGAAATAACGGAGGTGACACGAAAGAGTACCAATATTCTAAAGTAATTCTAATGGTTGAATTAATAATTTGATAATTAATTGATATTGTAAATCGTAAACGACGTAGCGTGTAGCGTATTAATCAACGAGAGAGCGACGAACGCGACGAGTATTTATTAATTAATTATTATATCCGCGCGGGAGTATTACGATGAGATAATATGTGGAAGGATGGGGGAGGAGGTGCTGAAGGACTCGCGTCGGTAGAATGGTACCAATTTTTATCGTCAATCGCGTAAAATCGTTAATATGTTACTAGCGATAAACGTATTGGATGCATGAGATGTATGTAATGCTGAGGATGTAAGAGAACAAATCTCTGTCGAATCAACGTTCACTGTAGACGTTGGGGAAATGCTCTTGACAACGTCATGATAATACACGTTTCGTAATCATACATTATACATGAAGAAACACCCTCTCCCCCTTCTGAATGGATGCAGCAAAAAGGAAGAATCATGTACGCGAGAGAAGGTGATCCAACCAACTGACTTGTAGATGTATAAGTAACGTGTAGATATATCATAGTTAGATACAACGATCTCAAGAGGTCACGCAGTGTGGATGAGCGTGATACATGCGAAAATGAGATAGGGAGAGAGAGAGAGAGAATGAGAGAAAATGTGAGAGTAAAGAAAGAAAGATTTGGGAAGTAAATAAAAATAATAAAAAACCAAAAGACAAAATCTCGAACGATTCTCCGCATTATCTTTGAGTTTATCACGCAGCGCGAAAAGTTCATGATAAAACGAATATATTCGTAACGTATCCGAAATATAATGGAGATCTAGGAAAATCGTAAGGTTGTGAAAGAAGAAAGCACTGTATGATTGTGAGAAAAAAAGAGAGTGAGAGAGAGAGAGAGAGAGAGAGAGAGAGAGAGAGGAAGAAAGAGCGAAAATGAAAGGAAAGTGAAAGAGAAATGTGATTCTCTTAAAACGGCATATTTATGGATAATATGGTTGAATCGTGAATCCGTTTGTAAAACTTTATCACCCGTCACGACGGTTTCGTTCGTCCTGAGTTCCTTTTTCGCGACTCGTGTGAATTTACGTTTATCATCGTCATCACGCACTTTTTCCGTTCGCGATACTCGTCGTTGTATTTTCGCCGCGCTGTCGCATACGCGTGTAACTCGCGCGAGGCCGCGAGCGGCCGCCGTGATTTGTGAATTAATTAAGTAATTAAGCGTTTCGTTTGTTATATGTACCTGAAAGCCAGTCGTGGTTTCGGCTCATTGCCCGAAATCGCTCGAGCGAAATTCGTGAGGCCCTCGAAGCAGGACGTTCGCGATTTTGAAAAGTCGACGATTTTTGGCATCGCGAATTATGTGCAGCTTCATTCGTCACGCGGCCGGAAACGTACGCTTATTTCGCTTATCAATGAGTTCGTGTATAAATTGTAGATAGCCATAAAAAATATATTGCGCAAATACATAAATCGCGGAAGCTGTAGATATAATATCATATGTATGAGAGGCGAATGCGATGGCGATAATCCGTAATATTGCATAGGTAAAAATTGCATAAAAGTTTTAATATAATAGCTCGCGATCTCGTTGTTAAATCACGATCGCATTCCCGCGAAACCTTGAAAATAATCCTCAACGTATTTGCAATGATAAGTAGTCGATTCTTCGGCGTATTTAAATTGCAAAGAAGCAAACAGCGACGATGCTGCTTCGAGGTACAGTGTTCGCGCCGAAGATGATAATTTGACGTAAAATATATGCTAATGTCATACTATTCGCAATACCGATTGTTCGGATATATGTCTTTCGGTCGACACGAAAGACACGTTCGAGTCGAATTCAATGGCTCTCGGGTACTACGTTCTGCTTGGATCTGCGATCATCCATATGCGCCTACGACTTGTTTGAGATCTTGTATAACGTGCAATATTTTCCTGCAACAATAAGCATTATCGAATTCTCTTTGCAATCGAATCTACGGCAGATCTACGCGCTCTAGTAAAGATAAAGATCGTCGCGGCTCCAAGCACAGCTCTCATCTTCGAGTGCTCTCGCATCATCGTACACCGGCACAATTGCTATTGCAACAATAATATTTGTTGCTCCGAATTGAATTCGAAGAAAAGAGATAGAGCAGAGATTTTTTTTTCTTTTCTTGTTTCTTTTGTTCTTTCATTCTACTGTTAATTTCTTTCTTGTTGAGTCATCAGAATGTACGGTCACACTCGTAATCGTTAGTCTTCTCACGTCCGACATCGAATCGCTTTTACACACGCATGTAACGTTCTTCTGTATCGTCTGTATCTTCACTTCCGCTTATTCTCGACTGTATCCGCCGTTGGATTTGTACACGGTGCGTTGAACCGTTTCGTTGTCACTTTCGCAAATGCTCGTTGTTCACCTCCATACCCAGTTTGATTGATTGATCTATGCTTTCTCGCGAACCCCCTCACGAGAATTCCAAGACGTACTAACTTAGGACAAATTGTAGACAATTTATTATTAAATAAAATGAAAAATAAATCGACATTTGAAACGAAATGGATAACATTCCCAAGGCATTTGCATTTTATTGATTTATCATTAAACACATGTGCAACGAATTTCAATGTGGCACAGTCACGTCCTTCATAGAATATGAAATACTGCTGGATCAGAGGTACGTATAAAAAAGATGATATATTGATAAATGAATAAGTATTAATAATAATTATTGTAATATATTGATACATAAGTAAATTAATAATAATCATTGTAATATAATGTTACAAGTATGTAAATGAACTGTTGATACATCGAATACCGTTTTACTTGATAATATAATCGTTATCTCGTTAGCTCGATATTATCGTTTAATATTTAAATTGATTAGATATTACTCGCAACGTACCGTATTATTCTTCTCTAACTAAAAAATTTCTACGCTCTAGTAATAATATAGAGTGTAATTGCTAGTCAAGGTAATATAAGATCATTGTCAGAATAAGAAAATCGAGTTATCGGATCGTCACATTTGTGTATAAGCATTAAAAGCTGTAGCATTTTTTAAAAATTGATTCTATTCCGTAAATCTTTCTTCCTCTTCCAATGATATAAAAATAATTACAAAGTAGGAGCGAGGCAGTTAAAGACGTAAATTTAGAAACATCTATTTGTAGCATCTGATATGTAAAATAAGAAAATCACAGCCGCTGCAATTTTCTCGAGAAACTGAATAATTGAATGCTAAATATGTATTCCATGACACTTACGTAAATGTCTGGCACAGATTATTGCAAATTACCGCCATTGTCGTTTCTACATCGTACGTTCCTCGACGTACGCCCAACGTGATTTTATTGTCAAAATTTAGAATGACACTTACGAGAGGATGTTCTTCATCAAAAAGACTTTCCTCGCTTCATTTTTATGTACTGAATATCAATTCAAATCTCTTGATAGAACTTTATAAATTATTTCTTGTGTTCGCCACGGAGGAAACGTTTTCCATTGCAGAGACGGATCGGATTCTTCTTATAATTGTTCTACGAGTTCGTTTCCCCGGTGAAGAATCATGTGCCTTTGTGATAAAGCACTCGAAAAATTTCCACCAGCAATTCGATTACTTCCACAGAATGATAAAATATGTTCTTGTTCCTCGTAAATCGTCTTACGTCGTAAATCTAACGTAGATCTATCGCACAGATCCTCAAGGGATAATATTTTTCTATGAAAATTCTAGAGAATCGTTTTCACCTCAAGTCATTATTACGCCGAATAGGTATCGCTGCGCACAAAGAATAATTGCTTAACCGTGAAAAAAATTTAAAAGTTATCAAGTCTTTCTGATATAAACTGTCTTTTTACAATTCTAAATCTGTACCTGCGACCGACTGGAATCATGCGGCGCGAAGGTTAGTGAACTGCAAATAGATCATCCCTATGATATATATCGTCTCTGTAAAACAGGTATTCTGCAATGACAGACGCGATCAATTCGGATTACAGACAGGTAAACCAGTAACGAGCCGTTCCCTCTTCTGTGTCGACGATGAAATAATACGGTCGGTATCATTACACGCGCATTTATTTCCAGTGTCCCGGGCACGTCCAATCCTGGATCGTGATCCATGCGAATGGATCCATTATCTCAACAGCGTGACAAGGCTGTGGGCAGTCTGCTAATGCGGCAAGGGACGGACGTGACGTAATCTGAGGTCACCCACGCACGGCTGCTCCGATGCAGTCTCGTCGAGCAGTTTCGGCACACGAATCGCATCGGGAATCGATGATCTCGTTGCTCTGCGCGAAAAGCATTTCGCCATCGTGACAGTTTATTTAGCTCATTTTGATCGCAAAGAACTTTCACAGTAAAGAATATTTTTGAAAAATTTTACTTTACATAAGTCACGTCATCGAGAGATATTTTTAATGCGAAAAATACAAATATCGCAGTTCAATACAGACGAAACAAATATGTGTACTTTCTATTTCAGAATTTTTAATATATTTCTGTATTATTTTTAAGGATAAATTTTTATAAATGAAAAAATTTTACTTATAAAGAAAATTACAAGTAAACTTCGTCGTTTACTTCCTTCTTATTATTCTTAACAAGTTTTTTACATCTTTTTATTAAATATACGTTGACAGAAAAAACATCTTAATTCCACGAATGCAGAATTTACTATGGTAAACAAGTCGTAACCGGAAACTAACGTCTTAGCTAAAAGAGCCTCATAAATGACAATTACGCAACGTAGGCGTATAAATAAAAGAGTTCAAGAGACTTCCCTGACATCGTAAGAGCTTACTTCCTTGCATCCTCATATTTAAGCACTTTCTATCATGATCCGAATATTATATATATATATATATATATATAAAACAATTAAAATTGAAAGACTTCAAAGATTAAATCAACAAAGGAAAGATAATGCCAATGAGAGCCGACACAGTTGTACTTGTGTAATCTAAATATAATACATATGTGTCAATCATCAATTACAAACGTTTCGGCCATAGCATTAAATCCTCCTCAGTGTATAAGTAACAAATATTGGAGTCAAGTTAACACGTTGTAAAAAAAGATAGGCGGATATAATTATTGAATCATCGTTAAATTGTTATCCAAAATTAAAAACTTTATTGTCGTCTATCGTATTTAGCTGGATACTCAAACCATAATTCCGTAATTTAACTAAAATCGAGTTAATATTTGAAATTTTTGAAATGCTTTGCATAGTTCGATGAATTAAAATTAATTAAATCAATTAGAAAACTTACATTGTACTCAATATAATGCGATGTGATTACATCTATGTCTTGAGAGCGTGTGACCCTATGTACATAAGGCTTGTAAATGAAGTTCCTTTATAAGAGCACAAAAGGATGAATTATCTTCACTATTACATTCTAATGTAGTCTACAAAATTAATTGTCAAAATTGTGATGCAGCTTATGCAATAAATGAAACGGTTATTAAAAGCGAACATTAATGAACATCACATAAATAGAAACAACACTCAGTAATTATAGAATTGAGTATAATCACGATTTCGAATAATAAAAATACAAAAAAATAGACTTAATTTGCAAAATGATACAGAATTGTTGGATTCGTTATATTATGAATTAAGTAATATAAAATGATGTTTCCTTGTTTTATAAGTTAAAGATTTGTACAATCGATTTTTATGTTGGTATTTATTCTTATTCTATCTAACATTTTGTATATATAAACACTGCGAATATGAAACGTCCTCTCACACGCTCTCAAGATATAGATAATCACATTGCGTTATAACAGATCATTATGCTGAGTACAATGTAAGTTTTTAACTGATTTAATTAATTTTAATCATCTATACAAAGCATTTTAAAAATTTCAAATATTAACTCGATTTTACTTAAATTACGAAACTCTTGGAGTATTCCGCTAAATACGACAGAAGATAATAAAGTTTGTAATTTTGGACAACAGCCTAACGATGATTCAATGAATTGCATCCGGTTATCTTTTTTTACAACGTATTAACTTGACTCCAATATTTGTTACTTATGCACTGAGGAGGACCTACTTACCTACTTACCTAATCCTACGATCGAAATGTCTGTAATCGGTGATTGACACACACACTACATACATATTATATTTAGATTACACAAGTACAACTATGTCGGCTCTCATTGGCATTATCTTTCCTTTATTGATTATATATATATATACATATATATTGGGTCATTTAAAAAGTATCCGCGATTTTTTCATTCAAAAATTGAACAAAAAACCGCGGATACTTTTTAAATGACCTAATATATATTCTCTCTCTCTTCATATATTATTATTTATTAAAATGAAGTCAATAATATGTTTCAAGATAAGAATACCTATACTTATTATCTCATAAATAAATAATTATAACACTATTTTTCAATCTAAAGTGATCTGTGTAAATCGCATCTGCAGCCATCGCAAACACCATCGTTTAAAGAGATCAAGGATTCGTATATTCAACCGGGTGTAGTGAACTTTTAATCTCTACTTGCTGCCCCACACCGGGCTCAATCCTCTCGAATCAGCTTTGACCAAGAAAGAACAGCGATGAAAGAGCATGAGTCGGCGACCGAAGATAAATTGAATGCAGTTTAATTCTTCCGTTCCCGTTGTAAGAATGAACCCTTTTCACATGCTTTAACAACAACACCAAGGATTATATATCAAAAATATACTCTGGCGAACAAATCTAAATGTCACTTGATCACATCCCTCACGTTTATCTTTGACAACTGCATTGTCTGCTAAATAATTCATTTATTTTCATACTTGAACACGACATAAAGACACTTATTTGTTACAAGTAAAAATTGCTCGCTACTATTTTTTATCATAAATAAAACACTGGGATTCCTGTAAGAATCGTACATACCATTATACGTTTTCTTTTCGATCCTTTAGAATACAAACTACAATAAAAACTAAAATTAGAACGTAAATACTGTTTCCACATCGGACAACATGCTCGTTTGAGGAAGTACCAGGGGCACGGCAATTGTGCTCTGTGATTCACTATTTCAAATGTTTTTTTCTCCTTTTGTAGGACTAAATTAATCACGTGATATATAGGTCACGTTTTGTGCAATGCCGTTCATTCGTATCGCTATGGGTGTGTCGAAATTCGCCTGCATGCGACGCAAACCAGAGCATACGCACCGTAAACGTAGAATCGCGATGATCTCTCATCTCCCTCCCGCATCGTCATCGTCATCGGTCCATCCACCCTCGCAGCCCCCTCCCAGTGCTCGTTACTCCTGGCTCTTCGTATCCGCTCGGATTGAACGGGTACAGTGCGATTACTGTATCTAGTGTTGCCTCCGGAGCAAGTGTTGTCTACGGTGAGCCAGCCTTGTCTCGTGTCAAATTGAAACGTCGTTCGACACGGCGCAGAATATTTGCGAACGCGCTATCCAATGTCAATGAACTCGACGGTATCCTGGATGAAGTCGTAAACCAGAGCACGATAATCGAGCCGATAACTCCTGTATGCC